AGTCGCTTCTCGAGGGATTAGTGCGCTTTGCAGCATTAGCGATCCATTTAGGTTTTAGGAAAAGGGGGATTTGGCCATCCAACATTCGGCTTTGATAATACTTCAGTGTTTAACCACTGGTGTCCAGAAAAAGAACATGCTAGTGGGCAAGAAGGAACTGTGAGAGGCAGGAAAAGGCCCTTGGAAGGAAGGCCCTTGACTGCGTGTTTGTCCAATGAAAGGTTAAAGCAAGGTTGACTGGACCAAGAAAGACTTGATCTTTTAAGTCTATCCTCACAATTTGGGTTATCTTTATCACTTAATGTAAATCGGGGCTCATATTCAAAATCTATCTGGTGAAGGGCCGTGGCTCAGTGGTAGAACATCTGGTTGGTAGGCAGAAGAAACCAGGTTCGATCTGCAGCGACTCCAGATAAAAAGATCAGGTGGTAGGGGATATGAGGAGGGAAGGTAGCATGGTATAGCTCAGTCTCGTCAAATCTCAGAAGCTCAGCAGGGTCAGTACCCGGAAGGAAGACCACCAAGGAAGTCTCTGCAGAGGAAAGCAATGGAAAGCCACCTCTGCTTCTCACTTGCCTTGAAAGACCCTTCCTGGGGTTGCCATAAGTTGTCTATGACTTGTTAGTGCTTTAAACACACACCAGGGGATGTGAAAGACCATCACCTGAGATGCCAGAGAATAATAATAACAACAATCATATGGCAGTGTGTGTTTAGCCAGGAGATCCTACAATTGTCTGGCAGCCGGAAGCTCTAGTTCTTTTTTTTTTTTGCGTTATGCACCACTAGGTACCAGCTAGACTTGTTTTTAAGGCAAGAGACGTTTCAGAGGAGGTTTGCCATTGCCTGCCTCTGTGTCATACCCCTGGTATTCCTCGGAGGTTGCCCATCCAAATACCAGCAAGGGACAACCTTGCTTAGCTTCCGAGATCTGATGGGATCGGGCTAGCCTGGACAAGCTGCGTCCCGTTAGAGTCAACAATGCTGACCTTGATAGCTCAATGGCCAGACTTGGTACAAGGCAGTTTCATGTGTTGTGTCTTATATTGATGGAGCCACGGGTCAGTGGTAGAGCCCTGGCTTTATTTGCAGAAGACAAGATCAGCCCTCAGCATCACTTGTCGCAGGCTCTCTGGATGCAGTTGCTGGGAGAATCCTTTCCATGCCTGAGAGCCACTGCCGATCACAGAGATCCCTCCAGAATTATTATCATGGAAGAAGCTGCCTTTAGGCATATGGAGTGTAAACATACACCAATCTCACGAGGGGGGGAAAGTGCACAAACAGGTATCGTCTTAAATAACTGCTACGGATGCGCGCTCCAGTGCACCCAATGACCGAGCTCTGACTCACAAGAGCTTGTTGTGCTTGAATACATTTTGTTAGTCTTCAAGGTGCCACTGGACATCTGTTTAACTTTGTGACAGCCAGCCTCTAAGTGGTAGCTGGAGATTTCCCGCTTTTACAGTTGATCTCCAGGCAATAAAAGATCAGTTTGGTGTAGTGTAGGAGTGTAGAGGTTGTGCGTGGACTCTAATCTGGGAGAACCGGGTTTGATTCCCCACTCCTCCACTTGCACCTGGCTGGATGACCTTGGGCAAGCCGTAGTTCTGTCAGAGCTGTTCTTGAAAAAGAGCCGTTTCTGTCAAGAGCTCTCTCAGCCCCATCTGCCTCACAGGGTGCCTGTTGTGGGAAGGGGAAGGAGTTTGTAAGCCGCTTTGAGACTCCTTTCGGTAGTGAAGGGCGGGGTATAAATCCAATCTCCTCCTCCTCCTCTTCTTCTTTGGCGTATAGGGCCATAGAGTCCACCTTCCAAAGGGGCCATTTTCTCCAGGGGAACTGATTTCTATCACCTGGAGATCAGTTGTAATCCCCGAAGATCTCCAGACAACCCTAGCTGCCAAATCTGGGTTGGGAGATTTCAGGAAATTTGGGGGTAGAGCTTGGGGAAGGCAGAGTTTGAGGAGGGTGGGAACCTCAGTGGGGCATGATACCATAGAATCCACCCTCCAAAGCAGCCATTTTCTCCAGGGGGACTGATCTCTGTCATCTGAAGAACAATTATGATAGCAGGAGAACTCCAGGCCGCACTTGGAGGTTGGCAACTCTAAAGCTTTGCTCCTTGGCATGACAGAAGAAAGCCCAGGGCCAGAAATGATGTCTGTATGTCCTTTTATGCATGACCTTCCTGCAAGGTGTCAGATAGTGAACCTTCTTTCTTATTCCAGAAAGATCCATTTCTGTAATTAAGAGCTGGAGCCCCTGGGGAGGGGGATGTGACCCAGCGGAAGAGCCTCTGCTTGGCACGCCAAAGGTACCAGGTTCAACCCCTGACATCTCCATGTAAAAAGGATTTGGCAGCAGGTGACGTGAAAGACCTCTGCCTGAGACCCTGGAGAGCAGCTGCCAGTCTGAGTAGACAATACTGACTCTGATGGACCAATGGTCTGATTCAGTATAAGGCAGTGTCATGTGCTCTGTGCTCAGGAGGAAGACGACTCCCCCATAGTTTTCCTTTTGCCGACTAGAAGCCTGTAGCTGGGTCCCATCTTGTAGATGGAGTATATTCCCAACGGTTTAATTATTGGGGTGAATTCTACGGTGGAAGGCATTTCTCCAGAGTAGCCATTGGATGCTACAGGAGGCAGGATTCGAGATTGTTCACCGAAGTCAAGTTCCATCCCGGAGGGCTCCTGTAAATCCCTTGTGGCTCTCGTGAAAAGATTAACTCTCTGCAACCAGCAACAGTAGCCCAGAGTCATATGCCTTCTTCTCCTGCTAGCAGTATTCAGCAGTATTAGGTTGCACACAGGGCCAATAAGTTCTGCAAGAAGAATATTACTTTGCCTGGCCTGCTGCCCCCTACTAAGCCCCCAGGCAGGACAGCATCCGGCTTTTCATCTTCCACCTTGAACACCTGCTTAGTTATTACAGACTGAAAAGAAAGCATGAATCATTTAACATGGTTTTAATAACTGTCCATAATATGTTTCCTTTGAATGTTGACCGTTATATTATACTTCATGGCCGTGTTCCAGTTTGTGCCTGGGGAAATACTACTCTCTCTCTCCACACTTCCTACACAGCCCACAAGCTCACTCCGGTGCTTGGCAGACTTGGTCGGATCAGTTTCCTACTCCAGTCTGATTGGCTCCGTTTCCATTTCTGGTTGGGAAATTGGGGGAGGAGAGCCCTTCCTCCGCACATGCGTGGTCCTGAACCAAACCAAGCACCCTATGTGTTGGAACTGAGCAGAACCCACAATCCATGTCTGATTGCTACACAGGATGGGAACCCAGGTCCGAACTGTGTACTTCATAATGTGTGAACTGGTTACATCGGGGTCCCCAAAGTGGTGCGTGGGGGTGCCGTGGCGCTCGCCAACACCTTTTGTGGCACTTGCCAAGTGTTTTTAGAAAGTGGGTGGGGCAAGTAGAGCCAGTGTGGTGTAGTAGTGGTTCAGAGCACGGACTCTAATCTGGGAGAACCGGGTTCCCCACTCCTCCACATGCAGCTCCTGGTGTGACCTTGGGTCAGTCACAAGCTCTGTCAGAGCTGTCCTCTCAAGAACAGTCCTTGAAAGAGCTCTCTCAGCCCCACCTACCTCACAGGGTGGGTAGGGGAAGGAAGAGATTGTAAGCCGCTCTGAGACTCTGAGTTAAGGGTAGGGTATAAATCCAATCTCTTCTTCTCCTTCTTCTTCTCCACTCCCACGAGGACTTCTGATTGGCTGTGCAGATTAAAATAACACTTTAGAAACAGCTGCCACTACAGGGTCCGTTTTATGCTCTCTCTGACTCCTCTTTCCTCTTGTATTTTTAGCATTTACTCCTCTTGTCCCCAGTACTTGAGCTTCCTCTCTCTGTGTGGTCGGCTCTGCCCTCCATGGTGACCATTTTGTGGCCCACCTCCCAAGGTGGCCATTTTGTGGTTGCACACCTACCACTAGTGTAATGTATTGAAACGTTTACATGAATCACCTCATAGGGCTCCTATGTTAAGCT